TAAAAAAGGTTTCTAGACCGGGCGCGGTGGCTCAAGCCTGTAATCCCAGCACTTTGGGAGGCCGAGGCGGGTGGATCATGAGGTCAGGAGATCGAGACCATCCTGTCTAACACGGTGAAACCCTGTCTCTACTAAAAAATACAAAAAACTAGCCGGGCGAGGTGGCGGGCGCCTGTAGTCCCAGCTACTCGGGAGGCTGATGCAGGAGAATGACGTAAACCCGGGAGGCAGAGCTTGCAGTGAGCTGAGATCCGGCCACTGCACTCCAGCCTGGGCGACAGAGCAAGACTCCGTCTCAAAAAAGAAAAAAAAAAAAAATTGGGTTCTATAGGGTAGAACTCGGGCCTAGGAACCCTATAAGCCTGCTGTTTGAGCTGGCCCTGTAGACTCGTCAGTTTAATGGTTGAGTTGACCAGGGTCTGTTAAGACAAACCTTGTTGGGGTCCTTGAAATAAAAACCAAAAGAGGTTTCTCTCTTGTCTATGTCCTTGAGAGCCTGACTTTATGACTAAGTGGGGTACTCTCTTAGTCTCCACCATCCAGAGGGTATAAATTTTCAGGTTCACCTCAGGTGGCTGCCTGAAAGGATGAAGTGTCTGAGACACATAGTATTTTAAACAGCATACTCTTCATTCCAAACCTGTCAACTTCTTAGGGCAGTTTTGTATTAAAAGATCCCTTTCTTACTGGGCTTTTTGTCTTTTGCTGTCTTAAGTCTATTTCTTAGATAAATTTTTAGGGATCATGGGAATTGCCTCCTGTATACCCTCTTCAGGAATACCTCTTGCTAATATGGTAAAAACCTGAAAAATTAACACCTGAGCTTTACATAAAAAGGCTTTTGGGTTGAGCCACTGTTGGAGTTAGGTGCATCATTGAAAATAAAAAGATTTGAAAGATCTTTTTTTCTAAACAATTGTTGGAAAGGTTAAATTAAATGGACACAAAGTAATGGCATAGCTATTCCTTCCAGCAGATCTGACCTAAAACAAAGTTAAAATTCTGTTCAAGCTCAAAACTGCCTGCTTTACATTCCTTCTGGGAAGAACAATGGAGACCACTCCGTGCTGTGTCCAGGAGTTACAGTTCTGCCCTTTCACTGTGGTGGCCTAGGTTCAATTCCTGACCAGGGAACAAGTCCTTTCTGGTTTGACAGTTGTGTAATTTAAAATATCAGCTCTTTGTCCCTACTAAATTCTGGTAATAAGAGGTTTGAGAGGATTTTTTAAGAGCTCTGTAGTCAAAAGTTGACTTAATTAAAACCTATATTTAGGCTAGTCTCTCTCTCTCTCTCTTCGCCCCCATACACACACACACACACACACACACACACATAGTAAAATCTAACAACTTGATGCCTTAAAAAAAGAGAGAGAAATTAACAGAAAAAGGTGACACATATTTCTTTTTGCTAGTAACTGCTAGTTTTCCTCAGGGAATCCCCAGAGGTATAAATGAACTGAGTCCTCTCAGATCTAAAATTCTGTTCTCTTTTGCATTGCATTTCCTGATCTTTTTGGCTTTGGGGGGTACCAGAAATTACTTTATGAAAAAAAATTAACCTTGGTATGTGTCATGGCTAGGTGAGACATACACTTTTAGAATGGCTGATGGCAGTTGCTTACAGTGAACAGTTATTACTACAGGGTGCTCCTCTTTGAGTGTTTGGATAAGACAAGCATCCTTTAGGCCCTAAAGACTGACTGCTTTCTTAGGCTGAGTTCCTTAAAGGGCTCTACCCTAAAACCAGTAATCTAATTAAGAAATAAGCTAAGTTAAAAAGTCATTTTACAACTTTCTGGCATTTAGCTGGATATCTTAAAATGCTTTTCTCCAAAAAAAAAAAAAAAAAAAAAGCCTGACATATTTAAGGAACTCTCCATTTGTAAGGGTGTCTGCTTGTGTACATTAAAAACGCTTAACCATTATTTTAAATTTATAAGCTATACTTTTATTTAAAGTGCTTTTCCTTTTCCTCGCCTTCTTAACTAAAATTTCCTTACACGATTTTTTTCCCTTGGTTTGAACAAATGATGGTACAATATTTAGGCCTAATGTCTTAATGTTATTCTTTCAAAATATCAAAATTCAAACTATCTATGTTGTTTTATCTTAGCTGTTCTTTTCAAAATGCAAATTTAAGGTAGCCTAGCTAACAATTACCGAGAGCAAAGAAACAGATAATCAAGAAATTGACAGTCTAAAGTGGGAAGAAAAAGCCTTGAAAACTGGCAAATTAAAAATATCACAAATTTATAAGATCTGCTTCTCTCTATGTGTCTATATGTCTACGGAATTACACTGGTAATGTGTGATGTTTTACTACTAAAATATATAAAAAGGCTCCAATGTATTGGTTTAAAGAAAAAGTAAGCACTTAAATCAAGCATTTTATTAAAAATTTAAAAAAAAATTAAAGCAGACTGGGCATGGTGGCTCACACCTGTAATCCCAGCACTTTGGGAGGCCAAGGCAGGCAGATCACTTGAGGTTGGGAGTTCAAGACCAGCCTGGCCAACATGGTGAAACCCCGTCTGTACTAAAAATACAAAAATTAGTCACGCGTGGTGGTTCATGTCTGTGATCCCAGCTACTCGGGAGGCTGAAGCAAGAAAATACCCTGAACCCGGGAAACAGGGGCTGCAGTGAGCTGAGACTACACCACTGCACTCCAGCCTGGGCAACAGAGCGAGACTCTGTCTCAAAAATACAAAAAGAAAAAACAAAACAAAACAAAATATCCTTTAACTCAAATGCCTTTTAGTTCACATGACTTTAATAATCTTTAATAAATAAAGCTAATTTTAATATTATTGATAAAGTAAAAATGTTTTCCAAATTAAACATTTGGTCAAAACTGGTCAGGCAGATCAGATACTGTCTTCGTTACTTGTTTTAAGGTTATAAACCACTTCTGCAATATTTTTTAGAATTGTGTAACTTGTCTGTTTTGGAGGCATTCGATTCTAGGCTCTAACCTAATAGGCAGGGTAAACTATGCTGGGAAGGGTCAGACATTATCTGCAGCTTTGTCCTTCGTGGTGAGCTCTGCATCTGATACATAATTAAAATTGTACTAATTTTTCAGTGAACCCTTAGAGGATTCACCCTGAGAAGATCCTATGGCCTCCACACTTTCCCTTAACATTTTTGAAAAATGTGTTTACTTTTACTGCATGTATAGGGAGAGATATCAACTAAAAAGTCCCTCAGAAAAACATTTTCTCTACTGGGAGCAAAAACATAAGAAAAACACTTCCTGGTTTAAAAACCCTACATTTCACTATTGATCTAGTAATAAAATAGGGTCTCGTGGTAGGGGTAGGGGTATTATTCTGTATCTATAAAGTCAAGGATATTTGCACAAATAGCAACACAAGTTAATGTACCTACAACACCTTCGTAATCATTCACTTTTTTTTTTTAGTATTAACACTTATTCCCATGTAGTAAAATTATAAAATTATGTATAAATTGTACAAAGCATTACCTGACAAAATAAGTTCCATTATGGAGACATCAAGATCACTGACCCTATTTCAGAATAGCACAAAGATGATAAAGTTCTAAAACTGAGTTTCAACAATGACCCAGGAACTGAAGGATCCCTCATATGAAGCTACTTCTCAAACAGCCTTGCCAAAGGTAAAGCAAAGATTCTGTTAGCCAGAAATCCCAAAACAAACCTTCTGCCAAATTGAATAGCTATTTTGTTTCCCTAAAAATGAAAATTTTTAAATTAACACATAGAAGTGAATTTTAATAATGCCAAAAATATTATTTCCTATGTAAAACATCTAAGTATCTTAGTCCTTACTGTGCTTTTCAAGTGAAGGATAGAATGTAATGCAGCTGTCACTTTCCTAATATAATTATCTGAAAATTATTAGTTTATTTTTAAAATACTATGCACAAATTTATGATGAAAATGACTGGTTGAAAGAAAAATAAGATGTTCCATCATGTTGTTAGCAGCATGCCTCAAAGGCAAGAACCTACCCCACAGATACGATTTAATAAACTGTGCAATAGAATTTAAATCAGTTATATAATGCTCATTAAGACAATGACAGTGCTCTATCCAACAGAGCACTAAGTTACTACGATCAAATCTTAGTTGTCAGGCATAAGGCTTGAAGGAAATCAAAATATTTTACCCCCAAATATACATATTTGGCATATTTTAAGATGGATATCCAGAGGGCTACAAATTCCCCTCAATCCCTACAGGCTCAAGGCAGTGTTTCTTATCCAGATGAGGGATCTCAAGGGAAAGATGGGCCAGGATAACTCAAAACCTAGACACTGTAGATCAGATGACAGATCAAGTTCAAGGAGAACCAGCTGGGACTATGAGAATTAGACAGGTGCCCCTGGATTGAGCAAAAAAAAATGTTGAGTATTGATGAAATCATCAGACGAGGAAAGATTAGAAAGGTCCCAGGAGCCTAGAAAGGCAGTGTTTATAGTCCAGGAAGTCAAATAATGACACCAGCATATTAGATGGATTAAGGCACACTCTGATTCTAAAACAGGTCATTTCCTCTGTGCCATTTTCCATGTGAGTGATAAGACAGAGTGTGCCTGGTCCTACTAGCATTTATACCATCCTCAAGGGGCCAGAAAGCCCCAGGAGAACTTTCCAAGAGATCCTCATGCAACAACCCACCTTGTTCCATAACTGTGCCCAGAAGCTCAAGGGAACAATTATAACACAAGGATACCACCCTCAAAGAGTAATAAAATCTAGCCAAGGGGACAAAATATACACAAACATCAGTGCAAGACACTAACTGATCCAGGCTCTAATTCTGTGGTACAGATACTCCCTTTCCCCACCCCAGCCCTGACATCTGTCTCCTACACAAACTATACCTTCAGTGCTTGCCCAACTTTGTTGCTTACTTCACTGCTTACACCCACTTAAACTGGGTTATCCTGGCATCTGTAGTGCCCACTCAACCCTGTGTCCCTCTGCCTTGGCATCAGATACTACTTACATTGTTCTTTCAAAACCAGGCACTACACAGCCATCGACTTCTGATCCTAATTCACCACGTCCTGTAGAGTCAGCCAGTAGAGAGGCTTAGTAAGAGGGCAAATTGGATAACACCAAGGCTGTCCAAGAAAAACAGGTTCATAGTTCCATTCTTTTATTGTAAAATTACTTATTAAATTACTTCCCTTTGCATGTTTTACTTGTTTTTGTAACAGTGCTTTCCTCTAGCAAGGAAGTAGATAAAACCACAGTGTGCAGCCCCGCACACTCCACTGTATGCGTTTATTCTTAGAACGGTAAGTCAGAGAGAGTGGAACACAGTAAGGGAGCTGGCAAGCTTTCACCTGCTTTAGTTTAAAAGTGTGTCAGCTGTAGTTTATTATCCCAATGATGCATTTTTTTAAATCCTTGCAATCATATTGTATGCATGTGATGTTGATGTCAATCATAAGCAGCCTAAATTATGTTGTTATTAAAATTATCTGTTGTACAATGCTTCGTATTTTCCAGGAAAAGGAGACATTTAAATTATATGGTTTTGGTGAAAACACTTCTGTAACTGAATATGGGACGCACAACCTCTATATCATTTTCCCTTTTAATACTGTTAGGCTTTCCCCAACCCACACCAGTGCCATCAGCCTTGCTCCCAGAAAAGCTACCTAAATTCTCTGAGTTGCCATTAATAAAAACAGAGTCTGGGATCAACTGTGAAAGTGAATTATATACATGAGTGAATAAATCAAAATAATACTCTAACAAAATAGGTAAGCCAAGTTTATTGTTTCTGGCAGTAAGCTTTAACCATGTGATAATGTTCTGTTGATTTCTCTTAAAAATGTCCTCCAATTATATAAAACTGTCAATCAATCTCAATCAAACAAGATTTGGACAATGTATTCTTAGTGGACTTTTCTGTATTATTAAATGATAGGAACTTATTTGCTTTATTACTTTATATGGCCAAAGCATACACTGGAAACCTACAAGAAAAATCGGAGACAAAGGTGAGTTATGAGCAAGGAACTGAAGAAAATGCAGCCATGAAAATTTCCCAATATCATGAGTTATTCAGATCTCCAAGCTGGATCAACTAGAAATCCTAGATCATGAGGCATGGGTAAAAGTTCTTAAATAGGGCAAAAACATTACAAATTCCTTTCTAGGCCATGACTTACTTAAATCACTTTTTGTTCCTGCATTCATATGCAAATAACAGTAATAATAAAATCCTTATCAGATAAGCTCAGAATTTTTAAGACTACATTTGAGAATTTCAAATTCCTAGAATACTGAATATTTAACAAAATAAAGGGCTATAATTTAAGGTTAGCTTCTTATAATATGAAACATGCTTGAATTTAGAAAGAGTATGGTGCATGAAGACTGGCTGTGAAAATTTTAAAATTCTAATCTGCTTATAAAACACTCAAGCTAAGATAAATCTTGGCTTTAATTAAGATAAGTAACCACAGCTATATGGCTACTGTTAGCATGAACATGCCCTTACCAGTAAGAGAAAACAATTCAGTTACAGATCTTGCAACTTATAAACAATTTTTTTCTGAAATATCATTTTTATTGATTTGAAATCAACAGACTTTTCATAAGCTATTTCTCATAGAAAAAAAGACATATGAGATTAATTTTTAAATCTTAGCACTGAAAGGATAGGTCACCATTTCTCCTTCCAGTGTTATTCTTGTCATAACTATTTGAGATTTCAGTTTCCACAGATATGATCTTGCCTTTTGTCTTAAATGATCGTCTCCACTTTATTAGGACTACTCATTTTCATTACCAGACCCTAGATCTTGTCACTACCAATATCTGAACTTTCTCCAGATCTCAATCATAAGCATCTCATTTCCTAATTTTTCTAACTCCCATTCTGTGTCCAACAGTCTTTAAGCCGCATCAGGATCTACTGAGGAATCTGAGTTTTGACTAAAAACCTACTGTGATCTTTCAGGCCTAACCCCAGGCAGTTACAAGGACTTTTCCTGGCAGACCTGAACTACCATCCTCATACCAGACTTGGGGTGCAGCCAGTGCATTGCTGAAAGGAGTTGCAGTCACAGACTCAGGCCCCCTGGGCTGGCCATGCACTTATGCACATCCGTGTTCTTAGCTCAGCAAGAAGGCCTTCAGGAACCTCTGCTAAGAAATTATCATTTGGAGGAGCTGAAGGGGAACCTTGAAGACACTTTTCTCCACTCTAGCTCAATAATTTTTTACTCCTACCCCTTCCTTTTCACCATTTTCCCTGGGGCCCTAGTACATAAAACTAAAGGAGGCTTTTGTTCAAGACTCCCTCAGCAGTCAAGCAATTCCCCACGTGTATTGATTCACCTGACCCTCAGATATTCAGTACTGTTTCATGGGTGAAATGGACAGAGGCAGTGCATGGGTGGGGTGGCAGTGGGAAGTGGTAGAGAGAGTGGTCAGAACTTTCTCTGGTTTAGCCTCTTGCTTATACTATCACAGTGAGTGATTAAATGTTTGAGCGTTATTTCATTGTGGATTATTGTCATAATCAGCTATTCTGACGCATGGTAGGTAGCAGAGCACAGCTCTCTCCAGCTCAGCTTGGCCCCTGACACCTACAATCCATTGTACAACCACCTTTTCAATATACCTTCCCTCCTCATGTCCTCATTTCCATTCTTATCCAGCTTAAATGTCATGGTTGTTTATTACATTCAGCCACATCTTTATACCCCAAACTACCATGACTCTCTTGCACTTCATCATGCGCACTTGGGAAAATCATGTGCTTGGTAAAACCAACTCTCCACCTACTCTGCCCTTTTACCTGTGTGGTTGAATGTGTCTGGAGAAAATCCCATAACCATACTGACCAGCATTGCTTTATATACATGATCTCTATCTTCAATGGCAAATATACTCTACATCCCTGATTCATTCACTCTTCCATATACCTCAAATTCTATTAAATACTTTTGTCTCCTATTAAACATCTGATGCCCCCTCCATCTTTATGTCTCTCTGACAATGTGCTTCCTATTTCAGTAAGAAAATATAAGCAATTGGAAGATATGCAAGCTCCCATCATAAGGTATGCAATATCTAGACCCTTTTAACAACATCTGCACTTGTATATCCTGCCTGTTCTCCATCATTGTGAGTCAACTCTATATGCATTTGTCTAAAACCATCTCCAATTTATACTAAATCTCAACTCCTCTTGCCTACTCAAGGGCATCATTTTAGCATTTTTTTTATTTTCTACAGTTTTCCCCTCTCCACTAGTTCTTTTTATTCAGTATGCAAACAATGTTACTTCTCCCATCTTAAAAAAAAAAAATTATTCAGCAACCACCCTCTTTCTCTCTCTCCCTGTATAGTGAAGCATCTTACTAGATTTGCCTTTACTCATGATCTTCAAAGTTTCTTCTCCAATCCTTTCTCACAACCATTCCAATCAAGCTTTGGCATTCATCACTTTATCAAAAGTCTGATAATGCCAACTAGTAACTTCTAAAACCACAAGGGGGGAGAAAACAAACAAACAAACAAAAATCTAGGGTCACAATAAATGAGGAATTTGAACAATACATGGATATGGGTAATAATAAACTTTTTGCTATTTAAAATGAAGTCATCCAATTTAACTTAAATAATGAGAACACTAGTTGGACACATTTTATGGCTTCTCTTTTCCATAAATTCACAGTACTGAGTTGAATATGGTTTGTATAATTCTTTTTTGTGCTGTATCTTGTATTCCTTCAACTCAATCTATAGGAATTGAAGATGAAACCAATCAGATTCCTATAGAATTATACTTATTTCCATAGTAGGATAGAGAATTGCTTTGCTTCAAAGTATCTGTTCCAAATTCTATTAACCCCTTCATTCCATATTTGGAAAGAAAAGAGCAATCTTATTTAAGAAAACAAGTAGTCATTGTACACTTGCCCAATTTTTAACTATGTTTTTGCCCTGTCTTATTTACATGAAACATTTTTTAAATTTTTGCAGCAGGTGCGTTTTCCTATCTCAGATTATAATCTTTTCTTAGAAGCAGGTCACGTGACCTTTCTGTGAAATTATATGTGGTTTTGTGTTTGTGCATCAGTGAAATGAATTTATATTTTTACACTAGTTTTGAATATAAAAACTATCTGGACCAAGAATTATTAGGTAATATTATACCTAAAATATTATAAAATATTGATACCCAGATGATTTAAACATGTTATCTCAGAACACATTATGGTTAAGATCATGTATCAGTCAGGGCTATAGATCAAAAACAAAAGAAATAGGCTCCGGCTACCTTAATCTATAAGAAAATTTATGGGAGAGATAACAGCATTAATGGAAGGCTAGAGGGCCAGCCTTGGGAAACTGGTGAGAGGAAAGGCGCCCCAAGAAAGTAGGAATCACAGAAAAGATTATAAGGCAAGAGCAAACTGGTCTGCTTGCCACTCCTGGAGCAGCCTCTACTTGAAAGTTTCAGAAAAGTGCAGGTGGTAAACAAGGTATGTCATAATTACCACTGACTGTTCCAAGGTAAGAGGAGAGGATATCCCACCCGTTTGGTTTCCATAGTGGTTAGTAGGTAATCCTTCCTGCCAGCTTCTCCACAGTAGGAGATGCCCCAAAACAGAGGGTGGAAATGATGTATTATAGCCCGGAGAATAAGGAAGGTCAGCTCTAAGGCTCCTTAAAGGAATGCCACACGGATCCAATCAGGTCAAGGTGCAATCAGGCTGGCATGATCATCAGAAACATGCTGAAAATGAAAAATAATAACAAGCAGTACTGAGCAGCCAAAAAAAAAAAAAAAAAAAGGTAAGGTTTCATGGAAAGAAAAAGGGATTTGTCTTGGTAACAGTTTGGGCTTGTTTCTATTTCACCAAATATATACAAATATATATGAAATTGTGGAGTTTTGTGTTAAACACTAGTTTGAAAGTTACCGTTTCTCCTACTAGATACCTTCCTGAACCATTGCTTATAGTCAAACTCAGCAGTAAGGGGTTAGTACCTGTACTCTGATATGCAGAAGAAAGAGGCGACTATGGAGAGCCTGAAAATCTCATACTGTAGGTGATAAGCCCTTCTAGACATTTATCAAATAGACACTTGAGTAGGTTGACTACGTAGGTGAACTATGGAAGTTTCTCAAAGTTGAATGAACACAATAAATATTTGTATTTACTCAAATAGTCTACATATTTTTATGTCTACTATACTATATATACTAGTACTAAAAATTTACTCACATTTATTACATATTATGAGAGTTCAACACAGAATGAACTAGATGAAATCAAACTTCTAGAAAGAGTTAGACTCCCACCCACCCTGAAGCTCAACCAAGTCAAGCCTAAGTTAGGAGCCTCAGCAATCTGTTAGCAGTCTTACCAATACAAGGTTTTCCTGGCTTGTAACCCCACACACAGACCCCGTCACCTTTTCTGTGCTTTCATGGTTTTGTCCTCCTTAAGCTTTAGTAGTTTCTTTTAAAAAAAATCATTCTTTCAAGTTCAAATCGTCTGTTACAATTAGACACAAAAGACTCCATATAGGCACTGGGTGGAGTTTATTTCTTGTGTGTGGTTCACAGAATTCTCGTTAATGAGGCCCTCTTAAAAACCATCTACACTTTTTTATTCCAGTCTTTATCATATTCCAGAAAGCCTAATTACTTACTTCAAAAACATAAAAACAGAAATCTCTTCACTAGATTATTATTTAAAGAATGAACTTCGAGGCCAGGCACGGTGGCTCACGCCTGTGACCCCAGCATTTTGGGAGGCCAATGTGGGCAGATAATCTGAGGTCAGGAGTTCGAGAGCAGCTTGACCAACATGAAGAAACCCCATCTCTACTAAAATTAAAATACAAAATTAGCCAGGTGTGGTGGTGCACACCTGTAATCCCAGCTACTCGGGAGACTGAGGCAGGAGAATCACTTGAACCCAGGAGGTGGAGGTTGTGGTGAGCTGAGATCACGCCACTGCACTCCAGCCTGGGCAATGAGAGGAAAACTCCATCTCAAAAAAAAAAAAAAAAAAAAGAAAAAAAAGAAAAAGAAAAAAAAGAAAAGAAAAGAAAAGAATGAATAAACTTTGAATTTACTTTGGGTTCACAAACTATAACATTTTTAAATAAAGATTGGTTTCTGCAAAAACAAAAAAAAAATTCCCTAATTTGGTTGCATAGCATTAGTGATTTTGGTGCTGACTACATCTGAAGTTAGATAACATTGAATAAGACATATTTATCAACAAGTACTAATGTCTATCATGTTGAAGAAAACCTAGTTTATCTAGAGTACTTGCTCTGGAATTAATAAGATGTGAGTTTAAGCCTGACTCAGAAACTTAGTAGCCGTGTTATTTTGTGCAGGTTACTTAACTTCTAGCAGCTCGATTTCCTCACCTGCAAAAGGACGATAATAATATGTAATGATTAAAATGAAGAGATTGTGAAGAAACTTGGTAGAAAAACTGTTACTCTCTCTCCTGCCCTCTTTGTGAGTCTTTCCAGGCCATTTTTATCCTTTAGTTAATGTAAATGAGACACTCACAATGTCCTCAACTTGTTGTATTGACCTTTCCAAACATAGCCACTTTCTCACAAACAACAAATATGTATTTGAAATCTCAGAATTTTAAATTAACAATCAGTTTTCCATTTTTAAAAAGATAATACCTCACAATAATGATAATACATTCTGCAGCAAGTTAGATTCAATGGTTAGGTCACAATACTATTATGACAGAAGTACTGTTAAAGGAACATTATGAGGGGCAGAGGTGACAATGCTAGCCTTAAACAGATTGTTAAGAAGGTAGAGAGAACAAGAGCTTCAGGAGAATAAAAGAAAAATGTGCTCCCAAACTTGGTGATGAGTCCAGTGAGTCCCATTAAACAAATTAGCAGGTTTGGAGCATAGGGTTTGATGTTTATGGGTGTATAAATAAAAAGTTTGTTTTCACTGGGGCATCTTAATTTACTACAGCATGTCTCATCGTTCCTGAAAGAATGAATGATGCAATTATTAATACCCCTAAGAATGAGTTCATCCTGGGATAAAAATGGGCTCCTCTCTGAGGGCAGAATGCATTGGCATCAAACTCTGGAGCATAAAGAAGACTAGATGCATTACAGTAGGAAAAGGGGGCTAACTCGGGCAACAAGTGAATGAGCAGCACCAGACCAGTAACTCAGAAGAGCTCCACCATTTGGTGCAGCCCAATATGAGAACATTCCCTTCAAAGTATGGAAGGAGATAGTGTATCCAACATCTGGCACTTAACTAGCCAGGAGCAAGGACTGACCTTAGAAGCAAAAGGGGGCAGTACCTCCCCAAAACCAATGAGAGTGCATCAGTAGGAATGACTATTAGAAGGAGCTGTGTTTCACAGAGCAGAGGACTCACAGACTCACCAGCAACACAGGATGCAACAGGAAGGCAAGATAAGGAGGCCGGAATGAACAAACCGCAGGAGCTTGTTCCAGAACATGTATGAAGAAAACTTTTAAAAACAAAACAAAACAAGCTGGGGCATGATGGTGGGGTGGTGGAGGGAGGGACAGAGTATGAGACTGATAAATAACATATTGGAAACATTTTGAGATAGCTAATTTTCAGCAACAAATCAGTAAAGAACTTCTGCCACAAGAATTTACTAAAAAAATTAATTGCATTGAGTTATATAATGGTGAGTACAATGATATATGAATTATATATAATTTGATAAAACTACCCCTTGAGACATCAACTTTATTTAAATTCTGTCTAAACAAGACATGTGTGACCTCCATGACTTCACAGAATGAATTCCTTCATCATGCAGAATTCCCTTAACTTCTTGCCACAAAACTTACACATTTACAGGCTTCTACACACTTTTTTTTACTCATTCCTCCCATTACCATGGGGAAGTTAAACTTAAAATTAACTTCCCTCCAATGCTCTGTATGAATTCCCCTCCCAGTTGCTCAAAGATCGCTATCATTTGCATATTCTAAAACCTGCATCTTTCATGTTCTTTTCTACTAACTTTTCTCTATTGCCACGTAAACATACTGAAGATTCCTTTATTCTTAACAAATGACAAGAACAACTCTCCCTCAAGCCCTTGCTCCTGATAGTCATTGCACTTATTCTTACAACTTACAAACCTCTTGACATAAATGCCAATTTTCTATGTACTTCTCACCCCCTACCCATCCTTCATGTCACAGTAATCTGGCTTTTGCTCCTACCTTCCCTGATTAGTGCCCTCTTAACCATCACTTTGTCCCTTGACTAACCACTAAATGTAATGCATTTCTCAGTTGTTATCTTATTTTGCATTTCAGAAACATTTACTCTTATTGGCCTTTACGCCTTGAAATTCACCATACCCTCCTGGTTTTCCCTCAGACCTTTGTTCTCAATAACTTTTACTGGCTCTTTCTTCCTCTGACTGTTCTTAAACTACTGTTCCTTCCTGGTCATATTTTATTTCCAATCCAAACATATTTCCTGGAAATGTTCTCCACTGCCCTGCATTAGACGGGAACCTTGATTCAGGACCATCGATTCTCTATTGACAGTCTAGATCATGTTTCTCTGCTGGACAGCTTCTACAGGCAATCCTGCACAGTCACTGAATGTATCATCTCCCACAGACTGACTCTCCCTTTTTCGTGCATCTCAGTGAATGATTGAAGCCATGAACTTAATTGATCAGTAAAAATTCTGCATATTATCCTTCTCTTCCTACCAAGTCTCTCTGCCCATTCCCACCCCAAACACACACACACACACACACACACACACAGAGTCAATCATATTCTCCTGACTTCCAAGACTAGATTATTTCTCTTCAGCCATTCTACTACCCTCAATCATATATTGCTTCTGGGAAGCTGCAATTGGGGTGATATGTCCTAATGGTTCCAAGCATGAGTCTCTAAGACAGAGACTGATTCCTACCTGTCTGCCACTCATTCATGGTGCTACTTTCGACAATCTGTTAATGTCTCTAAGCTTTCATCTCCTCATCTTTACAGCTGGAATTATTATAAACTCCAGCCTCACAGGATTATCTTAATAATTAAATGAGATAATGTACAAGGTTTTGTTATAATGCTGTCAAATAGTTAAGCAGTCAGTATACTGCATTGACAGTGTTTCCAGGCTGCCAGTCTTACCCCTTGGTCTCTACTCTCCACAGTGCAACCTGGGTGATTGTCCTAAATAGAAATGTAATAAAGCTCCCAAATTAAAACCATTTGGTGGCTCCTGTTACACACAAGACAAAATCCAAATCCATTAAGGTGACTCACCAGCTCCTTCATGGCCTGGCCTCTTCCACACTCCCAGCCTCATCTCTCAACCTTTCCTCCTGTCCTCTGTTATACTCACAGGTAATTTCCTTCCATTCTGCACTAAACTTCATGCTTTCACATCTCCAAACTTTGCAAATGCAATTATCCACATTTGAACATCTTTCCCACTCCTGTTTGCCTGGCTAACGCTGTCAGGCCTAAGCCCTCAAGGCCATTGCCTTGGCTGTGAATACCCATAGCACCTTGGCATACCCAGAGCACAGCTACACTTGTTTGGATGTCTGTATCCCTTTCTGGATTTTAAACTCTGTGAGAGAGTGGCGGATATGTATCTTGTTAACCTTTGTACTTGGTTCATGATTGATACTTAATAACAATTTTGAGAAACTATATCAATCAATCAATCAATCAATAAGTTGGGCTGCTTAATTGCCTTATACAGAGAAAAGGAGCATCCTGTCCTTTGTCTAGTTTGGCTAGGAGTATGTGTTTGTTTACCCATCTGTTTTATGTGGTTTGTTAACATGACTCAATACCCAGAGCTCAACCTCCACAGCTGATGACCTGACATTAAAAACCACTAATCCATTAAGCTGTAATCATCCTAGGCTAAGGCTAAACCAGCAAGCCTGGCTTTACTGCATGCTTCAAAAACAAATCCCATTGGCTGAAGTTTAAAGCAGGGATCTCACATTCATACACCTACATGAGCCAGACAAGCCTCACAAATGAGTGATATGCATTATACAACATGCATTTGCTGGGTAATGTAAAGGGGCTGGGCTGAAAGGAGAACACAGGTCTTGTCTAAAGACACTAGATGTTGCTCAACTCCAGTGAATTATTTCAGATATTCTGGCTTATACTTAACATCTGGAAATCTAAAATTTGCATATGAAGCTCTTTATCTTAAAACTTGGCTTATTAAAATAACAGGAAACAAACAAAATAAGTCTATGGGTTCTGTCTGGCTCCTATGAATGATCAATTCATAATCTTAACTTTAGACCAATGAGAAAGAAGGCAGAATTGTAAGTTGTGAATAGATAAGTACAAAGTGTCAAGTCCACCAATCCCTGCACTGGATCAGCACCTTCTTCTACTCAATTTCTCTCCGAAACTTCAGTGTTATCCTCAACCACTCTCTTGACATACACCCTCTTACTCTCAGCAGAAGATCCTAATTCATAAAGAAACTCAGAGATATTAGTAAACATCCTCCTTGTCTTCCCATTCTCAGTCTACAAACTTAAGTATAATTGGAACCACTCAACCTCAAAGGAGAGGTGGCCATTCTCTTCTTTAACAGGAATCCTCCTACTTTTTTTCCTAATACAGTGTAATCCCATTAATTATCTTGTCTCTATCAAGGCTCCTTAGTTATGTCTTT